CAATTATTCAATAAATTTCAATTGGTGGAATTTCGGAATGTCACAAACTGGGCATTAACAGTGGATATAATAGGTACTGAGGGCATGACACTTTTACATATCACTACATGATTTTTTTGTCTAGTTTTAGGTATTTAACTTATCCATGTCCTCAAATGTTGTTCTCTAGCCTTTCGTGGTACATTATAGTTGTTTCACCTGATTTGTATTATAAAGCCCTTTCTTACAATTAGTAAGAACAGAAATGCTACGGCCAAAAACACAAAATGAATGAGTTTGAGGATTTGAGTGGCAAAAACTTAAAAGATCAAATGAACAAATGAGACCAATTAGAGGACCACGCGTGTGAAGGAAAATTAGACTCCCTCCCTTTTATATAACACTGCCAGCTGCGTTTTTCATGAGGCATGTCTCTTAAGACTAGCAGATGGGTTTATATGAAGCTGCGCATCTCTAGCGGGAGGACTTGGAGATATACCTTTTTTGCTAATCATCATGACAGAAAAAAAAGAAATGCGATTTGCCTCTTTACAAACTAAATATGTCTTGAGGGATTTTGTTCTATCGACAGCCTTCATCAATCCGAGTGACATAAGCAGTGGCAATGTTAGTATTTGTTGGTTTATATGTGGGATTTGGAGAAAGGGTTAGTTGATTGGTGTTTGCAGAGGGACAGCTCGGTGAAACAGTTCGGAAGCGAAGGAACTAGTATTATGGGAAGTGACTTATAGACCACAACTCTCAACAACCAACTTTTGCTCTAGAACCTAGCTGACGTCTAGATTGTTCTAGATAAAAATTGATCACAATTTCAACAGGCAACCAAATTTTGTCTAATGTATCCATATTTTTTTGCCTCAGTAGCAGTAGTCATTATTGTTATTAAGAACAATCGTAGTCGTCATTTTATTCATGGGAAATATTAGCTAAAAAATTATCGTCACTCGCTGGTTCGATGTTGATTCTATTATTTAGATTAAGATCTAAATTATTTGATTGACTTTTCGAGGTCCCCTCTGAACACTTGTTATAACTCTACAGAGGACCAGTTTATGTACTTATCGGTCGTATTTATCACCCACGGTTGGTTTTTTCACTTCATTCAAATCGATACAAAACTATGGTTGATAAAATGATCTGTTGACTCTTATTGATTCGTGATCTTATCATGTTAGATAAGATGAGAGACAATGTCGAGCCAATCAAGAATCAAATCGAAGACCCAATCAAGAATCCGATTAAGAAAAAGAGGAAAAGAAGCTCAAGGGTCCAGCCATGCAGAGCGAAGGCCTTCAGATACTCCGGTAGAGGCTCAGGTCGGGGGTGAGGAAGACCTAGAAATAAGTGGGGATTCGATGAGAAAATCGACTTGATCGGGACTCGTAATAGACGTAGGGGAAGAACTAGAAAGACAGTGAATTTGCCGTATGCCCCAACAGATCCTTAACAGAGAGTCATGTACTTTTGCTTTAAATTAAAATATGATAACCATAGAAAAAAGGGAATGTCAGATTGCGGTTGCTCCTTCGGGTGGTGCCAACGTTAAGGTGTCATCCTAGCATTGTTTTCATAATCAAGGCAGCAACGGTCCTGTACATGAGTGACTATGCTTGTGATTATAGATTGCTCTTAGTAAAGTATAATAAAATCAATGTTAACTTCAACTTTTCTTTGCTTGCTCTGAAATGCTAGTTTCTCCAAGTGGGGTTATTAGGCGCGTCATATATATATTCATTTTCCTAATCCAAATATCTAAGATCAGATTGGGATTTGTTGGAGTTGATGCAGTTTTTCATTGGACACCATGGTAACCTCCGATGCAAGAAAGGCGGTTTGGTGTCTAAGTGAACTTAGATACTCACTGTTTCTTTTATTTATTGCGTGAAACTTTCTCCGAGGAAGCTGGTGTTCCGCTCCTATAAGCTATTTACCATCTAATTGAAATACTTAAACCGTAAATACTGAATCAAATTCCTTTTATTGAAGGTTAAAGGGGTCCACTGTGACTGGTGATTAAATGGACGAGTCTCCGTCTGGTCATGAAAATGCTTTGCTCTACTTCTTTTCTTTTATTCATCTCAGCTTTGTTTCAAGATCCAATCTTCTCCAATGGATTGTTGATAGGCACCGTGTGTTTCGTTCAGGGAGACATAGAAACCCTTTTTCTCATAATGTTGTGTGCTCTACAGTCCTTCCTCTTCACCTTCTTGACCTATTTTCTGGTTTACTAAGTTGTTATGCATATGGAACAGAAAGAGATTTTCTGCGGTTTGGAGTTCTATTTAGATGTCTTTTTATCACTTCAAAATCAATACATTCTATGTCGTCAGAGAACCTCTAATCTCACCCAAAAAAGAAAGAAAGAAAGAAAGAAGAAAGAGGAAAAGAAAATAATGTTAGGGTGACCTGGTGGCATCCTTGATGTGGTAGTGCAGAATTTTGTTCTCGATGGTCATTTTGGAGGAATCCTCCATGTGCAGCTGCTTTTGCTTTTCTAAACTCAACGTCATAGACAAGAACGGCTAGATCCACCATCAATGACTGAGAAAGAATTGTTACTACTTCCTCAAATTCGCCACTAGTACCAAGCTCTGTGCATTAACTTTGCAGTCGATTTACTTTTTCCTTTGGGTATGCAAGCATATGAATAGCCAATATTGAATATAGAGCATCTCTTGTTTATCTTCAGAATTGACAAAGTATAAAAAGAGCATTCCTGAAACCTGGAATGACCAGAAACAATATATCTGGACTTTGAATCTCATTCTCAATTCTCCGGCCTCGACAAATCCTATGATGTAAAACTTTGATGTTCAAGCTTAACGAAAGCACGACTCACCTAATTGTATGGGCTATTATTGGGTATCTATCTATCTCTTAAGAAAATTTTATTTGCATTAATGATAATAATTGAATTAAGATTGTAACGCACCATGGATTACGGTGCGAGGAGAGAATGAGTACGACAATTAATTCGGTGTTCTTATCACTGTGATTTTGAATTTTTCTTTTTTGGTCAGTTGATTTTGAAACGTAATTAGGTCCTTTTTAGTAGTTTTTTTTTTTGAAATTACGAACAGTGATTCAAATCAACCAAACACCAAATATCCAAGCTTTCTCACTATCGTTCCATGTTGTCCAATTATGTATGTTCAAAGAATATTTTACATTTTCTTCTTTGAGTACCTCTTCTCAAGGTGGAATTGAAAGTGGACTCAAGAGCCTGAATGGTACGACATGAAGGATATGAATTTTTCCAAGAGCGAGGCTCGATCTATATCCATATTTGTTAACTAATTACGGAATGAGTGAGTATATTCTCCTCAATCTGACTTAACGGGATCCGGACGTGAAAACGGGAAGTCGTTATTTGATGAGGTAAGTTACTCTTCTTAACACTGTGGAGAATCTTAATAATTGGTCAAACACAATTTTCATGCTGTTCTTTATTCCTATTGATGGACTTGGGTGCTGATATGATAATTATAGAGCATGCAGAATAGCAAATACCATCGTGTCTGGGGTGCCGTGGAGAATTACGTTGTTGGAAGAGAGAAGAGGAAGCAGCTCCTTCTGATGTTATCTCGGCCTGAGACTGACAGGCTTGAAGTTTCGGCGCAACCCACCAACTCAAAGTATTCCTCCGGTTTTGTTTAGTTAATCCATATTTTGCATACGTTTATAGTAATATTGCATGCAGTTGATTTTTGTTCTCACTATAGCCATGTTTGCACTTAAAGGAAATGTGAAGGCAAAATCACTATCTGAATCCGTATCTTTCATGAAATTAATTTGAAATCAATTACAAAGTCTTACTAAATCAGATCAACATCATGAAGGGATCTCTTACAATGCTCATGTAAGTGCACATAAACTTGTCAGAGAATTTCATATATAGGAAAGCCTACAACCAGACTGTATATAACTGCAACTGAATCGCACTGAAAGCTTTAAATTCCCTTAGCACAGCAAGGTCAGGAGGGCCTCAACATCCATAAACAGAATCTCCTTTGAGGATGTGCAGCTCAATGAGGAAAAGCAAAGAATAGTAGAGGCAATGCATGACTACTAACTTACTGGATTCAGCAGGTAATGATCCGAACATGTTATCCCGAGTATATTAATTTGCTCATAGGAAAAAAGTTCAGTTTTTATTGCAAAAGCATATCCTTGGTAAGAAAACCGAAACAGGCCTTGCTAGTGTTGCCTGATCTGACAAAAAAGAATGGTTGAGGAATAAAGTGGGAAAATCATGTCATCACGGGGACTGAGAAAGAAGTGACATAGAAGCTCACACTTTGAGTTGCTACAGCAGCAGAAGAAACATCAAGTCAATTCATAAATCAAGGTTTGCCAAAAACATCAAGTCAATTCATAAACAGCACTAAAAAACAAAAATCAAATGCGAATCACCCTTCTTTTCTTTTCTTAGAGGATGGAGGTGTCATTGAGAGGTCATGATTAACCTCGGGCACATTATAACTCTTCATGAAATCCAGAGTACGTTCGACTCGGTTCATGTAATTCCCCAAACTACTCTGCATGATTTGAACAGAATCTTTCAGCTCAGTCATCTGCACCATAAGGTTTTTGACGTCATTCCTTAGCTCACTCAATTCGGGAGATTCCTTCTTCTTTAGTCCTCCGCTAGAAGACTCCACCTGAGTCTTATCCTCCTTTCTGTTTTCTTCCTTCTCTTTAAAATCTTCATCTTTCTTATCAAGCCCTTCCTCTCGAGTTCCAAGAACTTCAGTTTCCTTTCCTGAAGGTTCTGGTGCCTGCTGTATGTTAGCCACTTTCTTGGTTACGATGTACATCCATAGTTGGAAGGTCCCCAATGCATTAATCGATTAAATTCAATGTTTATTCAAGATATCCATTTGCATGAAAAGAATATGGGAGAAGTTAAAAAAAATGATTTATAGGCAGCCATACCACATATTCTAACAAACAACTCCAGTGACTGTATATGAAGCATAGCAAGAATAAATAAAGAATTATCAAACCTGGTGGATTAGATGACAGCCTTCATCGTTTGTCTTCCGTGACAAGTGATAAAACGCAAGTCGTGCAGCATCTTTTTCAGCATCTTTTTTTTTCGGGAAGATGTCGGATGTGAAGCAATCCCCATCTATGGATACGGTTGATTCGAATGCTTTTCCGAATTTAGATCCAACAATGATGGTATCATAAACAGGTTGAGACACTTTTCTCTTGTGCGCATGAATCTGTAACTTAGTTTTGTAGTCTAGAAATCATGAATAAGTTAGATATATTAGACATAAGATGTATCCTTAAAGAGTATGGACGGTAGCGAGGCCTTACCCATAGTTCCCGATGTACCCCCATTAGATGGGTTCAGATGAACAACGTGATCGCTTGATATCATTTTTGCTTTTTCCGCCTTCAAAGCAAGAAAGAGAGAATCAATTATCCTAGTTGAGAATTAGTAGACAAACCAAGATGCATGAGAACATAAAAAATCATACCTCAATAGTGTAGCTAGCACGAACAAATATATGCTCTCGAATTTCATGTGGAAACCCATCTTTGACACACACCTCTATGGTTGTGTGGATAACCGTCCAATAAATAGGAAAAATCATCTTGGTGTTGTTAGTTGCAAAAAATCAATCAACTAAAATTTCAGTAAACATTTGGCTGTTGCAACAAATGTTATAAGATAGTCTGCTGCAAAAGGCATAACTAAAAGTTCCAAAAAATGGTCCATAGGCCACGGCATCAAAACTTTATTAGAGCTTATTTCTAATGAAAGAGTTGAATTTCCTAAACTCTTGACTGTGATGACTACCTGCCTCTTTCATGTATAAAATGCTCTTGAAATACTAAATACCAAGAAGTCCAACGCTTTTTCTAGCAAATGCAGCACAACGCATGATTGGAAGGAGGAATGGAAAACATTACCATGAATAGAATTCCCGTGACAACAAGGTAACCAACGGAATTTCAAAAAAAAGACATGAAAGTCACTTACCACTTTCGTAGATAGTAACATGGGGATCCTTATGGGCACGAGGATTGAGAAGAACGTACACGGGGCTTTTATTGATATTCATCAACTGTTAAATGAAATATACGAGTGTAAATGCATATAGCCATATATAGCCATCATCCTTTTGTAATCTAAACACCCAACAAACAATAAACATAGAGATTTGAATTTGTCTGCGGGAAGCATAGAACCATTATGTTTGATAACGCAGCTCATAAACGAGCTTTGTCTACCGACTTGGACGAGTTGCACCACATTAAAAAACTAAAAAGGACATATATAACATATATATATATATATAAAAGAATATATTGCAGTTCGAGTCTGAATTTGCAGAATTCATGTGTGAATTGCATTTCGGTGTTATCGCAAATAGTACATCTTTCGTGTGTGTGTCTATATATATAGAGAGCGAAAGACACTCTACGTGCCCAAATAAATGGAACAAAACAGAATCAATACATAAGGCAAATATCACGTCCAACCAAAGATTACACATCTGAACTTACACTTCTGTGAATGGCCATATCCAATTTTGCCACGTCGCTCCCGGTCGAGTACCATCCTAGTACATCGAAATCCGGGTATATCTCCATGTCTGTCGCCAATTATAAAGCAAAAAAGGAAAAAATTAGAACACCAACTATGCTTCAAGTCCTAAGCCCCTCCGTCTACGCAATGGAAGCAAGCGGTCAAAAACACAGTTCGCTCACAATCATGAAAAACAAAGGGCCAAAAACGGAAGATAAATAGAGAGAGCGAGAGGATGAGAGAAGGGACTGAACAGCGCTTGTGCTGCTCGTTGAGAAAGGCGCAGTCGAGCGATTGACTGATGGGGTCACAAAGCTCGAAGCTGTTGCATATCTCTACGGTGCGACCCCTCTGGATTCCGATCACACACCCATACACTCTCGGAGGATCGGCCAGCGGCCCCACGGTCATATCAATGCCATTGCCAGCACCGTCCGTGGAGGATGACAGATGAGACTTGGCACGGACGGAGTGATCGCAGATATTCAAGATCACAGGGAGATGGAGCTTGAATGTGAGGCCGCTGCCGGATGACAACATTGAAGCTCTCTCCTATCGCGCTCCAGCGAGACACGCTGTTTGTCCTTCAGCCTTAGAGCAATCCGTTTATTTGCAGAGAGTAGAGTTTTGTTTCTTTTTGGCTGAAGTGCAAGAAGTGAAGCTTTTGAGTGCGAAATAACGCAATTTTTTGAGGCGGAGAGCGTGTTGGAAAGCACGATAACCACGCATCTCTCTTGATTATCATGATTCAACAGAAAATAAGTTTGAACGAGTAGCTTGCTGGGGATTAGGAGGAAAATTAAAGGCTGTTGGAGGAGCATGACTTGTTGAACAGTAATTAAACCAACGGGTCATGTTTCGAAACTCAATTATAGTCCTTTTTGATTTATAGAACATTAGCTTTTGTCGAATGATTATAATGTTTGAATGCTGGTCCACTCCATCTATAATCTATGTAAACATAACAACACATTCCTAAACATCGAATATCTCCTATTTATTCAAATATAAATAACTTCTATCTTTTGATAAAAGTGCAAGATTCGATTGAATTAGTCAAAAGATTTAAAACCCGATTCAATTCTATACATAAAGATTGAGCCTCATCGTTTACTCATCCAATATTTTTTTTATTTTTTTAGAGAGATGGGATTCATTTGAGATTCTTTTCATCTATGTTCTTTTCTTTTGCTGAGCAACGAATGCTTGCTACTTATTAAATTATATCTCAAAAATCCACTTCCTATTTGAATTAGAGTTTATCTTGAAGGCAATATTAATGTGATAAGTGTTGTGTTTTTTTTTTCCCTACGGAAAGTTCTGTTTGTTGGTCAAGAAAGTCCAAATCTGTTATCCAAGATTTAACCGCGCGAGAGTCGACCTCTTCAAAAACGTACAGTAAGAAAAACAGAGACATAGATGGCGAGATATGGTGACTAGATCCTAGATAGAAAAAGGAAAAAAAAAAAAAAGGAGCGGGTCATCACTCTAAATTGCAATCGAAAGATTAAGGATACATCTGTCTTTTTAGTGTAAATGGAGTGGATTTAGTCATTTAGAGGGTTGAAATAGAGCCGTCCAAAATACTTTTTTTGGGAATTCTTTTATATGTGGTTGTATTTTGTGAATAATATGATAGTAATTTTCTGATATGTGTTACATGAAAGTTATCAAACACACACATCTCTAGTTCAATGTCATGTCTCGGGTACGAGTGTCGGGCATTGGGGCTTGGGTGCATGAGATCAAGCTCGACTATTAGGAGAATGGCCGGCCGGCCAATGCTTGTGTGGCCAGAGGTGGACCACTGGGTGCCAGAATTTTGCTTGGAAATTGGCCAGCTCGATTAGCCAGTCCAATTCCGATTAAACCTGGTCAAACTGGTCAGACCGATTTAACCCGGGTTCGACTAGGTTGAACCGGCTTGGTTCTTGACCCAACTTTGTTATAATTTCATTCCTATTATGATTAATTGATCCAATTGAATTGAATTTGATTAAATTAGATTAAACCAATTTGAAATATAAGCACAAATTGACTAAATTTAGCTTGTTCGGCTCAATTGCTCTTTAATTTGAATTAAATTGCATTGTCAAACTAGACTAATGAATTAAATTGAAGTCCAATTGGCCAAATTGAACTTCAATTCATCAAATTGGATATTAGTCTAGAATGGGCCGAGTTGAATTACACTAATTGGATCTATTACTCTTGGATTTCTCAATAATTGGATCACTAAATTGATCAAATTGAGTCCGATTGGAGTAACTTTGTCAAAATTGATTTTGGAATTGGAGTTCATTCAATCAATTGCATCCAATTTTGGCTAATTTGCATTAATAATGAAGAATCGTTCGGAATCCCTAATTAGGGCACAAATTGAGGGTTTTTACCTTTAGCTTGGAATCTTGAAATTAGTTTGAAAATTGAATGCAAGACGACCTCTAAATAAAAGTGTAAAATGTTCGAACCGAGGAAAAATTGATTCTAAATCGATTTTTGTAAAATTGATGATATCAAAGTGAAATTAAGGTAAAAAGGAGTTGATTTAGGGGTTTTGAACTTTTTCAATTTTTTTGAATAAAGTGTTGACCAAAAGTTAATATTTTAGGAACTAAAATGTCAATTAATGGGTCAAACATTGAATTTTTAAAAAATTAATAGTGCAAAAGTGAAATTGACACTATTTTAGGGTTTTTCATGCAAAAAACCAAATTTTGACTTAGGATTGACTTTTTGGTCAAAGTTTGACCAAAAGTCAACTCAAAAATCAACATTTTGACTTTTTGAGATTAAAGTGCAGAAAGCTAGAAAATGAATGGTTAATGCTAATTCAAATGTTAAATAACTCTTTTTGGTTGAGAATCGAGTTATGTCTTGATCAGAAGCCCTAATCTCAAAATTTTACATTTATGATACGTCGGCTAAAAATCAGGTGTCAACACTTTCTCTGTCTCTCCCCTCCGCCTACGAACGCCATGGTAGCCAAAGGCCGATGGTGTGGCAAAGCACCGCTCCACCAAGTAAAAAACGAGCGGAGGAGGAAGCATAGGAAGGAGAGTAGACTCTATGCAGCCAGGAAATGTCCAACGGCCACTATATAAGCACCGACGAAGAGAGAGAAGGGGTCAACCAATAAAGTTTCCAAAGAGCGGAGATTGAAAAGAGCAAGGTTTGAGAGTTTACAAGTCAAAGAAGGAAGCTAATTAGCCTCACCATCGCCAGAAAGCCGACCGGAAACCCCTTAGCCGCGTCCAGATCGGTGATTTTCTTGTCTTCCTTTGTTTGCCCCTATTTTTGCGTGCAGGGTGGCTGGGACTCGCACCGGCCCAAACCAACCCTGCTCCCTATCCAGACATCATTATCAAAGACGAGTCTTGGCCGCCGGAGCAGGCCAAAGCCTTAAACCAAGTCAAAGATCCCCCATTTTGATTATGCATGCCAGATATTCGACGAAATGCCAAAGTGAAGTATGAGATTTTAGGTTCTCAGTCAACGATGTAGAGATCGGCCGAGGAACTGTGAGCCTATGGTGTAACAGCCCGAATTTCGATTTAATTCCGGGATCAATAAAATTGACAATATTTCGCATTTCATTTTAGTAAGTCTCACCCAGAGCCAATCACTCTCGGGATACTAACCAATAGGGTATGGCTAATTAGGAAATGGTACGTGGACCAAGGACCCGATCGCGAAGCGGACACCGATCATATGAAATGATGAGAGAATATTATGAACCAATGTGGATCGATCTTAGGAAAGGTGACGTATTTGGTTTGGCCAAGGCCAACGATGTACAATCGGATCGCAGGTGATTCTGCATGACCGAGAGTGCACGTGGCCAACCAGTCCTGAACTTAAACCGGACGATCGTGACTTCTGGGACAAGTGATAATTTCTCATTCTCTCAATGATCGGACCGTTATGACTCAGATAACCCTAGGTCGATACGCGTAACCTCTAAACAGCCGCCCGTTAGTGAGAGACCCTGAAATTGGAAATTTAGCGAGTTTTGATCACGAAATTGGGCCCGGATTTCGATGTTGATTTTCGATGGCTTAAGAGACTATTTTTTGGAATCTGACGTCATATTATGCTGGCCACGCATATTTTGAGTTAGTATGGTTAAAAATAGGAATTTAGGTCCGGGGATGAAAAATTACGATTTTGCCCCTCGGGACCCTGACGTTGATTCTGAGGCCGTCTGAGGTTATTTTTCGAGGCCGATGCCATTTTTGGGTGGCCACGCATACCAGGAGTCGTTATGACCAAAAATTGGAATTTCGACAGAAATTGAAAAAATAATATTATTTTATTCCCGGAACTTTGCAGTCAATTTTCGAGGGCTTGCGCGATGAATTTCGCGATTCCGACACCACATTATGTTGGCCACGCACATATGGAACATGTATGTGCGAAAATTGGAATTTCGCCCCGGGACCGGAAAAATGACGATTTTGCCCCTGGACTAATTTTTTGTCCGAATTTTTGGGATAATTTTGGGATAATTACCAGAGGTTATCAGCTCAATTATTGAGGGCCAAGGACCATTTTACCCTCCACTTTTTGGATAAGATTGAATAAGAACCGTTGGATTAGGGGTATTTTGGTCAAATGGCCCGGGTCGGCGAAACGTGGCGCCCCTAGGCTGCTGTATTTGACCAGCCGACCACTCTTTCTCTCTCCTCTCCCCCTCATTCGGCAGAAACACCACAGATCAGCCCCCACCAGCAGCTTCTCCCTCTTTTTCTCTCATTTTTCTCTCTTGTTTGGCCTTGCCGGAGCAAGCCGCCGGCCACCGGAGCGCCGCCGCCGGCCATCGTACCTCGCCGTCGACCACCTCGGTCCCTAGCCTCAGCCTCAGCCTCACCCGACCCCTTTTCCTCTCTCTTTCTCCCTCTTTCTCCCTCTTTTCCGTCCGGCTAAAGGACCGCCGGAGCAAGTCCCGCCACGCCGGAGCCCGATCGGCCGAGCTGCTGCCGTTCCATCGCCACCCAGCCATCCAGCCACGCGCGTACGACACCGACCGTACCTGTCCGTACGGTCGGTACTGTTCACCGCCGTCCGTACGGTCACTGTTCACGCCGTCCGTACGCTGTCGCCGGGAATTCCGCCGCTGGTTTCACTGTTCACCAGTGATCGGCTGCCGTTCCCCGTCGTCGTGACCTTGGATTAAGTGAGTAAAATTCCTAAACCCGGATTAGGACTGATAGTGCGTTTTTCTGGACTGGTTTAGGTATTATCGGTGCATTTTGGACTGGCTTAGGTAGTATCATGTATATTTCAGACTGGGATGAGGACTGATTGGTAGGAATTATTATTGGGAAAATTTAGTGAATTAATGAGAATTATTTGGAGAGATTAATTGGATTAAATGACCAATTTAGGAGCCCATTGGAAAATTACCGGGTATGTCCGGGTTGACTGGTTGTACGTAATTTGTACTTAATTGTGATTGACTTCGTACTGCCATGTCGCATGTCGTGTGGCTGAATTATGTGGAGTGCGATTGGCCGATGATTGGTTCGAAATTAATTATT